CCGCGGCACCATTAAGCTTGATAAGATTGCTGATACTCTTTCTTCCCAATTCCATTCAGTCCTTCTTTTGAGTTACTGAAAGATGTGTTGTTCCTCCCTCTTCGGCGTTTTTGCAAATATCTGCGATAAAAACTAATGAGAGAATGCATGAGGTTCGAAAATAAATGTTTGGGTTAGGGATGTGGTACAAGCTAAAGATGAACTGGCTATCTAGGCCAACAAAGAGTGGTAAAAATGATGGAAAACATGTCCTAGATGTATATCTTGATGCCTGCCTAAAATCAATGATAAGAAAATTAGATGTCAATATTTAGTTAAGCTAGTATACTCTGTCAGAAAGAATCTCCATGAATAGAAGTCTTCTGGTGGAAGTTCGTAGTGAAAGTACTCTAGCTACCGCCTAGTGTAGTACTAACCACAAAAGAGCTATCATGAATAATTTAGAAGCATATAGGTCGAAATCATCATAGTTTTGTGTCAAACATTCCTGAAAATACTTAAAAGGTCATTAATAATGCAAGAAAGTTTTCAAAAATTTGCATTAAAAGATAAAAAAACAAAGAAAATAGGTCAGTACGAATAGACATCCCCCCCCAGACTTAAATCACACTATTCCCAGTGTGTAAAAGTTGGTGAGAAGATTGTAAATAAAAGCAACCAAGTCTAAGAATGAAAGAAGAACACAATAAAAGAAAAGAAAAACGATACTAGAACCGTAGTGGTGATGGCATGATGATGAATAGATGCAGGCCTATGTCTCGCGGTTTCTATCAGTCTCTGTGGCAGATGAGTTGTCATCGAACTGGTGGTTCTTCTTGAAGAATCGCTTCCTGCGCCTGTTCAGCCTCTCCTGCTGCTCTATCTTCTTCTCCAAGGCTGCAAACTCTGCATCACTCCTGGTTGATGTGTTGGTGCCAGGGGATCTTGCTCTGATGGGTGCTGGTACAGGCTGGAGTCTTCTGCGAGCCTCAGCTGCATCCTTCTTGGATTTTGCAGCCAGTAACTGACTCACAGTCAATGGAAGAAATGGAACGGATGGTAAGAAGTCATTTGTACCTGGTCTCCATCCAGGGTGTGCGCCATCTCTGAGTCTAGGGACTGAATCTTATGGTAAAAGAACTCTGAACTCAGATGTGCTAGTGCCGAACTTGTAAGAAAACCCCATTGGATCAATGTGAACTCTGGATATGGTTCTGTCTCTGAATAACTGAGATAGATTGAACCAGTCTTCATGAAGAGGAGTCAACTTCTGATGCATGCATGATATTCTTGCCAATGATGCACGCAAAGCAAGGAAAACGTGGGTTGATATGTGAATGGGAGCTGAAGGGTAACTAGCTCTGGTTGGAGCACATTCTCCTAATTGGTCCGAGAGAAGATGGTGTGTGCAAACAACTTGTCAATAAATCGCGCTGCAGGTTTGCGAGATGTAGAAGTCCTTGTTCCATGTCCTGCAAGAATCTCCTTCTGCGTGGATATAAAACTGGCCAAAGGAGCTCTACTACTCAAGTGTGTCTCGCTCAGAGCATCTAATGTCTCCTAGGTATGAGGTGTCTTCACGTGTGCACTCTTCTTGGTGCGTATGAGACACATTCATGAATGTTCCATAATCTTCAAAACAAAGAGAAATTCTCGAGAAACCAAATGAATAATGCTGCAATTGAATTAGTTCTTATGAGCAATGATACTTGTACAGCTTCAGCAAACATATTCAAAGGCAAATAAGCTATCATTGCATTACATATGACAAATCAGGAAGTTCATGACTAGTTTCAGATTTGTGATGTTCCACATATGATTTTTTCGAGATTAGGTGTGTTTGATGCTTATTCATATGAAATCTAAGTAGTTTACTTACTAAAAGTCACTAATAACTCTAGATTTAGCAATTCTAGACAATAAAGCTCTCCAAATTTGCTTTTCTTCTAAGTGTTCCAAATCTCAGATTTTAAAAATCTCAAATTCATAGCAGCTAGGCATTAAACATGGAATTAAACTACCCAAAAGTATATTTTTAAGTTCAATAACTATTTCTAATCATTCTAAGGTGAATTCCCACTGAATCTAAAGAAACCCTAAAATTTGAGTTCAGATGAAGGTGAAGAATTTGGATCCATACCTTGAGGAAAGAGTGAGACAATGATAGATTTGAAGTCCCATTTGAAAAAGAGTAAGATAGAGTCAAAAAATTGTATGAAAACCTACAGATTTGAAATCTAGTCTTTTCTCAAAATCTCAAAACCTTTTGGGGAAGATGAAGAGAAAGACCTTTGTAAACCAAAAATCTCTCTTTTAAAAATGTGTTTTTTTCTAGGAAAAAATTATAAGGACTTACCTCGCGTTTGGGCCACGAAAAATCATTCCAAAAACATCTCGGGTTAAATCTGGGATTAATAGGGATTGCATAAGTTCCAGTTTGCGGGGAAAAATGGAAAACAAGTCGGGAAGAGAAGAAATGAGCCGGCCGCGGGTTGCCTTGTCGCGGCCGCTGTGGGAGTATGTTCCCCTGCAGGTGAGGTGTCTCGACCGCGGTAAAGTGAGGCTCAGCCGCGGCCGCAGCAAATGGCTTCAGCCATTCTTCCTCTTTTTCTTCCTTATTCCAATTTCTCCTGAAAGTGCTTGACACTCCCTCCTATCTTTTGTGTTTTTCTAGTTTTTGAATGTTTTTGGTTTTTCTGGGTTTTATAAAAACTTGAAATGCATAAAAAGGAAAGATCAATAGAAAAAGCATGAAATAAAAATAAAGAAAACATACCAAATGTATTGCTTCCCATCAAGCGCTTTTGTTTAAAGTCTTTTAACTAGACTTTTGGTGAGATTAGGAGTGAGAAGAAGAAGAAGGATCTTCCAGATTAGAAGTCCTTGGGATCCTCTTAAGCTTGAAAAGTGGATCTCCTTCATCTAGTATCACAATCTCCTTTCCCTTTTTAAGGATTTTTTTCATTCTTGAAGATGTGTGAGCCAAAACTCACACAACCAAAAATTTGTTAAGGAAAACTTAAAGGATCCGAAATTTCTAGGGTTTATCGCGAGAACAGTAAGATCGAAGAAATTTTTTTATTGCTGTGAAAGTGTTTAGTCTTTATTGCTTAGGGTTGCAAAAGTTACATAATGAATTGTGTAAATCGCCTATTTATACTAACTCCCTAAACTGCCTAGCCGAGAATCTCGGGAGAGATTTTTGGAATATTTCCTTATCATGTTGTGCGGCCACTGTCATAATGTCTTTGCCTAGGGTTTCAGTGGGCTCTCGTCCTTAACAACTTCGGCTCGGCCTATCTTCACTCGTGCGCTGCTCGACCCATCTTCACTTATGTACGGCTCGGCCCATTTTCTCTCGTGCGTGGCTCGGCCCATCTGAGTGTCTTTCACACGGCTCGGTTTGCTTATCGCCTCCTCACGGCTCGGCCCATTTACGACGTTGGGTACAGCTCGGCCCACTCCTCTTATGTGGAGGTTCGGCCCATACCTGATGAATCACTGATTCCCCTTGCCAAATTGGCTCTCTTCGATGGTTAATTATTCTTGAGATGGTTTAAGCCGGTTGGGGTGAAACGACCCCAACAGTTAGCCCCCCAGCTCGTCAGTTTCAGAGGTGAGAGTGATGAGGTTTATCACTCCTAGACGTGGAATTACCCATCAAGTTGAACCTGTCGTGGGATGATTAGAGGCGAGGCGTGTCAGGAACAAGATTTCCGAGTCATTATGAAGACGAAGTGACTGATATGAGGGACAATGCCGAGCTGTTTCGGAAGAGGTTATGCCGAGCCGAATAAACGACGAGGCGTTCTGGCGTGGATAATGCCGAGCCATGTTCCAAGGCAACGGCTAGGCGTTTTCATTAGTAATGCCGAGCCGTGTTTCGAGGTAAAGACGAGGCGTTTTTGTTAATAATGCCGAGCCGTATTTCAAGGTAACGACGTGGCGTTTATGTTAATAATGCCAAGCCGTGTTTCAAGGTAACGACGAGGCGGTTTTTGTTAATAACGCCGAGCCGTGTTTCAAGGTAACGACGAGGCGTTTTTTGTTAATAATGCCGAGCCGTGTTTCAAGGTAACGACGAGGCATTTTTTGTTAATAACGCCGAGCCGTAGTTCAAGGTAACGACAAGGCGTTTTTTTTGTTAATAATGCCGAGCCGTGTTTCAAAGTAACGACGAGGCGTTTTTGTTAGCGAAACGGAATGCCGAGCTGAATAATCGACGAGTCGTTCTGTGAAAACTGTGCTGAGGCGTCAGCTTAAGATTCAGACTTACCGACCGTTGGTCTTCCGAAAGAGGATTCTCGGATACTGGCGCGTGTATCCGACGCGGCCAGAGTTTGTTTACATGCCACGGATTCCACGCGCCGTTATATTGATGGCTTCCCGAGGTTCACGCGGAACTCACGCGCCTCGGCTTGTTCTATAAGAAGATGAATCCCCTTCTCCTCTCCTCATAACTTCAGATCTTCGATTTCACTAAAGGTAGCTCTCCCTTCTCTCTTCTTTCTCTCTCTAGTTTATTTATTTTCCGGCAAGGGTTTCGAGGCCTCCTCCGCTCCAGATCTTTTTCCGACGAAAATTCGCTGCGTAGTATTGTAATTCCTGTTCAAGCTGTAAAGCATGTCAAACCGCTCCGATGATTCGTTAGATCCCCTTTTCCACTACGAGCCTAGCTGCACAGACGCTGTAGCGAGGGGTGCGATGGGATCTTCCGAGGCATCTGTTTCGCCGAGCTCTTCTAACGATTCTGCCGAGGATTTTGAGACGCTGACCCGAGCCCCTCCGGCGCTTTTTCTGTAAATAACAAGGTGTCTGCTTCAACGAGCTGTTCTCGGGGTCCCTTCAACCAAGAGGACATTGATTATGCCGCGATAAAGGCCGAGGAGGAAGCGTTTCCCTTTGACCCGGCCGAGGCGAGTCTTGAATTAGAGCGGCTTATGGGGTCTCGAGGCGCTTCTTCTTCTGGGAAGGGAAGGTCTAAATGAGTGAAGAGGCAAAGACCCGATCCTCCCGATTCCATGCTCTCCTCCCCCGAATCACTCGAGGCGTTGCGTCACCGCTTTGGGATATCCGAGGTGGTTGAATTTGTCGTTCCGGAGAAGAGTGACCGAGCTGACAAGCCTCCTGAGAATCACTTTACCCTGTACGAGGCGTTTTTCGAGCTCTGTTTCCTTTGGTTCCCGATCCCTGGAGTTATCCTCGAGTTCTTGTGGAAGCACGAGATCTCTATTGGACAGATTATGCCGAGAGGCTTGCGGCATATTATTGGCATCCTAGTTCGGGGCTTTGAATGCGGACTCGACATTGAGCTGGATCATCTGCTCAAGTTGTTGGAGATCAGTATAGCTCCAAAGGGAGGTAGATTTTATATCTCCAACAAGTCCAATCGCCGGATTATAGGCGGTTTCCCGAGTAAAGATCAGTTCTGGAACGAGCGCTTCTTCTCTGTCTTGGTGAATGAGGCATCGATTGGAGAGGACTTTGTCCGAAAAACCAAGACCGCTTGGGGACCACTTGGTAGCCGATCCGAAGTTTGGCCTCGGCTCGGAGCTGTTATGGTTTGATTTTCTCTTACTAACCTGGTTGTTTTTGTGTTGTTTTTTTTGCAGTTCGGAGCATTCTTCCCTCAGTTCTCTTCATTGTTCGAGATACCCTTGTGGGTCGGAGAGTCAATTGGAGGAAACACTTCACGTTTGAGAGAGTGGAAAGAGCGCGAGCCATTTTTGCCGGATTATCTGTTAGCTCTTCGTCTTCGAATTCTTCGGGCGATACAAGAGAAAAGATGGTGATCATCACTCTCAGAGAGAGGAAGAGGCTTGAAGCCGAAGATGCTGCCAAACGAGCTGCCGAGGCGACTCAAACGGAGGCCGAGGCTGTCCCTCAAGACGATCCACCGAGCCGTGAAGGGAAAGGCGTGCCCCGAGCTGCGGAGGCAAACATCACCGAGGTGATTGAGAAGGAGGTGGCGCCCGAGGTGGAACCGGGTGAGATTATCCCCGAGGCACCCAAAGATGATTCTGCGGCTCAGAGCAAAACTCCGTCCAACTCGGCAATTTTAGCTCTCCTGAAGCCGTCAAGGCCCCCGGCTTCGCACCTACAGAAACACGACGCTGGTCGAAAACGATCAGCCACCGAGAAAGGGAAAGGCATGGCTGTTCAGAAAGATGAGCCGCCCAAGAAGAAACGCAAGCCGGCGTGTAGTGATCCCGCTTCATGCAAGCTGATCGTTGACGACCCAGATGCCTCGGCGGTGATGTTTTTGCGTGTTAACAATGCCAACACGCGTCTTCCTCCTCCCGAGCAGCTGAGGAGACCGAGGTCCTATGGCGCGATGGCACAGCGCGGCACCAAGGTCTATTCTATTTATTTTTCCTTACTTTTTTCGTATCGAATTCTAGCCAAGTGTTTAACACATATTATTCTTTTGCTGTTTGTAGTGGCTATTAACGAGCTGATGGCTGAGTACGAGTCAGATCTGTCTAAGGTCGAACATCGGCTGGATAAGGCTCGGAATGAGACCGCGGTAGCAAAGAGGAAGCTGGACGAGGCAATGACCAGGGTGAAGAGGCTAGAAGAGGAGAAGATAGCTCTTCATGCTGATGTCGACAAGGTGTCTGCCACGGTTGTTCGCCTCGAGGAGGCCAGGAAAGCCAAAAGCGCCGAGGTGGCATTGCTCAGGAGGCGTATCGAGGCCAAAGATGCCTTGTTCGATGCTAAGGTCAAGCGTGCGAAGAAAGAGGCGAGGCGAGAATTGACAGCCAAGTTTCAGGAACGCCTTGCCAAGGTCGATGAAGGTCTTGCGAAGCTTGAGAAAGATAAAAGTGACGAGAATGAGCTAGGACAGATCAAGGGAAACCTTGCTATGATCGACGACCTGAGGAAGCCAGATGGCCCGACTCTCAATGACGAAGTGGCAAAGTTAAAGGGTTGGGAGAGCGAATACGTCGACGATGAGGCGTATGAGCGCATCGCATCCGAGATCTGAGGTGAGCTAGTCTTCTCGCCCGTGTCGCCTGACTCTGTGGATACCTGCTTGGGTAACAAGCCGATCGAGGAGACGGCGGCTAATCTTGGTGTTGGAGATCCGACCGGATTGAACGCGGGTACGCCGGCTCTTTCGAACATCCTTGCCGAGCGAGAGACGCAGTTCGCAGCTTGACTCTTCCTCTTTCTCCCTTGTCTTTTATACTCTCCATTTTTGTACCAAGTGCCTAGACGGCTTTATCCATTTTTCGAACTCGTACGTATTTTTTGTGATTGATGCTTGGATGGCTTAATCCACTCGACTGTTGATCTTACTGGTGGAGTAATTATATCTATCTCTTCTTTTTTAGAAATGTTGGTTTTGCCTTAGTGGTTTTATTCATTCTGATCTTTCAAGAAAAACTTCTTGTTGGACCGAGTTGTTCCTAAATGGTTTGTCAGGCCAAGTCAAAAACGTTTTTGTTTTCCTTCTTGGCCGACCTGTTAGGAGAGATTGAGAGATTCGTCGAAATAAAGGATAGAGTATTTCGGTTTTCTGGATATCGAATAGACCCCGTTTAGGTTGAAAGATCCCGAGCTGGAAGGATAGACTTTTTGTTGGAGTGCCTTTATTTAGACAATTTTGGCAAAGGGGATTGGCGTCCTTCTATGCCTTCGACCGTTAGTGCCGAGGCACCGAGTCAGAGAAAGAGAGAGTGCATAACGAGACATTTCAGCTTGGGTTTAGTTTTGGCCTTCTGAAGCGATAAGTTTAGATTTCTAGTTGCCGAGGTTCGCGTCCTTAGACGATCTCAGATTTCAATTATAGACCGGCGTTCCCGAGAGGGTGGATGCGTTTGCTGGGTTATAAGGGTTTGTTTCGGTTTTAGAGAAAGCGATGTGGTCTCAACTTCTAATCTCGTGTGCGATGACGAACCGTGGCGACCGATACGTTTTTGGTCTGAAATTTGTATATCGCGCTTGATTTTAATCCATAGAGGATGTGACTTGCACCCTCGTCCTAGGAAATGTGGTAAAAAGTCCATTTAGAGAACTTTGTGATTGTTGTCTCGTTGTGGCCAGCAATGAGGCGAGGTGTTTGAAGCTATAGATCAGAAAGTTTTGTCGAAGTGAATGCAAGGACAAGTAAAAGTCTAGGAGAAGTGTACACAAGTGAATGAAAAACTAGCCGAAGTGACAATAAGTGATTGAAAAATCCGAAGTGACCATGAGTAAATGAAAAACTAGCTGGAGTAAAATGAATGAAAAACTATCCGAAGTGAGAATGATCTTAGAGATTGTAGACTCGACGAGGTAAAATCTTAAAATTAATGTAGGTATGTGTATACGTACCACCTGCCCCCCCCTTCCTTTTTAGGAAGGGGGACAGCTGAACCCGTCCGAGGACAGGCTGCTTACGTACCATTTGCAGGGATCAAGCCGTCCCGTAGTTCATGTTGACCGTGTTGTAGTCTTAGTGATAATACTTCTTTAGGTGAATTGCGTTCCACGATCTTGGAATTGCTTCGTCAGCTACCGTCGCAAGTTTATAGACTCCTGGGTGAACTACTTTTGTAATCTTGTAAGGGCCTTCCCAATTTGCTCCGAGCTTTCCTGCATTCCTCTCGGCAGTGTTTTGAAATACTTTTCGAAGAACGAGCTCTCCTTCTTTAAATCTTTGGCTTCAGACATTTTCGTTGTAGTATCTTGCCGTTGCTTGTTGGTTGTTCTGGACTCGGATTAGAGCCTGGTCGCGCCTTTTGTTGATTAAGTCGAGCTCATCCAGCATCATTAAGTGATTCAAGCCCTCCGGTCCTGGCAGAAGTCTTCGTTGAATCCCTGGGAAATCCACCTCGGGGGAGAATTACGCACTCTGTTCCATAGACGAGGGCGAATGGAGTTTCTCCAGTGGCTCGGCGCAGAGTCGTCCGATACGACCAAAGGACTCCTTCGAGTTTGTCTGCCCATCGTCCTTTCTTGGCGTCGAGCCTCTTTTTCAGGCCTTCTAGGATCGTCTTGTTATCTGCTTCGGTTTGTCCATTCCCCTGGGGATATCGCGACGTAGATTAGCTAGACGAGTTTTCCATTTCTCGCAGAAACCTTCGAAGCGAGTTGAGATGAACTGGGATCCATTGTCGGTGACTATCTCATAGGGGGCCCGTGTCAGCAGATGATATTTTTCCAGACGAATTGTTCGACTTGAGCGTCCTTTATGCTTGCGTAGGAATCGGCCTCGACCCATTTAGAAAAATAATCCGTAAGGACGAGCAGAAAACGCTTCTGCTTCGATCGATGTAAAGGCCCGACTATATCCGTCGACCATCTCATGAAGGGGTAAGGTGAAGAAATTGACGACAGCAGCTCGGTAGGTTGTTGGATTATAGGCGCGTGCCGTTGACACTTCTCGCACTTCCTTGACCATCATAGGCCAGAAGTAACCGTGCTGTTTTATCTTGATCGCAAGTGACCTTCCGCTAGAATGATTTCCACATGCGCCGCTGTGCACCTCGTGCATTATCCTTCTTGCTTCCGGTCCCTCGACACACGTCATTAGCGGTCCTGAAAATCTCCATTTAAATACTTTGCCGTCGACGAGGACGTATCTTGCGGCTTGAGCCCTTAATTTGCGGGCTTCCCACTTGTTGGATGGTACTTCCCCATCGGCGATGTAGACTCGGATAGCTCCGAGCCATTCCTTGTCGCAACCGTACTCCAGCTCAGTTAGCGAGGCGTCTTCTTCCATAGCGATTGCCTCGCCGTTCTCTGGTTCTTCCTCGGGAGGATTGATCAGCCGAACTCCTTCTACCTCCTCTATGCTTAGACGTTCGATGAATTCGACTGAAATTGTTCGACGGAGATCCGGATCTGAGGTTGAAGCGAGTGCTGCTAAGGCGTCCGCCAAAGTGTTTTCGCCTCGGGGTATTCGTGTCAAACTTTTGTACCAAAACTTGAACTACTCTAAGGTAAGCTCCCATTCTTCCATCCTTCGCCTCATATTTTCTGAAGTTTGATTCCCTGCGCTAGTTGTAGGCCAGCGATCAGTGCTTCATACTCTGCTTCGTTGTTCGAGGCGTGGACGTTCAGGCGAAAAGACTGCTCCAAGATTTCTCCGGTGGGAGAAGTGAGATGGATTCCTATTCCCGAGCCGTGTTTAGATGACAAGCCGTCGACGTGCAGCATCCAAACTTCGTCTGGAGTTGGCTCGGTCGTCGCCTTGGTCAGAAGTTCGATGAGAAAATCTGCGAGCACCTGTGATTTTGCAGATGACCTGTTCTGATACTCGATGTCGTACTCGCTCAATTCTATGGCCCATTTGGCTAGCTGCCCAGACTGGCTTGGGCTTTGCAGGATCGAGCGCAGCAGAATGGTCGCGAGCACAATAATCGAGTGTGATTGGAAGTATGGACGCAGCTTGCGAGCCGATACTACATCGGCTAGGGCGACCTTCTCGATCTCAGGGTAACGAGTCTTGGCATCGGTCAATGTCTGACTGACGTAAAAGATGGGTTTCTGTTCGGATCGCTCTTCTCTTATCAGCACCCCGCTCACGGCCGTAGCGGATACATAGATGTAGAGGAAGAGGGGCTCTCCCTCTACTGGTTTTGCCAAGACCGGCGGGCTCGCTAGATAACCCTTCAACTCCTGGAAAGCTGCTTTGCATCGCTCGTCTCAGTCGAACTTCTTATTTCCTCGGAGGATGTCGTAGAAAGGCAGACACTTGTCGGTAGAATGGGAGATGAATCTGTTTAGCGCGGAGACTCTTCCCGTGAGCCTTTGAACTTCTCGCTTCGTTCTTGGAGAGGGCATCTCGACTAATGCCTTGATCTGCTTGGGGTTCGCTTCAATGCCTCGGTGAGTTACCAAGTAGCCGAGGAACTCTCCCGAGGTGACCGCGAATCTGAACTTCGCCGGGTTTAGTTTCATGTTGTGCTTGTTCAATTGTTCGAAGCATTCTCGTAGGTGCGTGATATGGTCTTTTTCTTCGATCGATTTGACCAGCATATCATCGATGTATACCTCTATGGTTTTTCCGAGCTGATCTACGAACATCTTATTGACGAGCCGTTGATATGTTTCCCCCGCTTTTTTGAGTCCGTACGGCTTAATTTTGTAGCAGTAAATCCTGCGATCGGTTATGAACGCTGTTTTTTCTCTGTCATCGGGATGCATCAGGATTTGGTTGTAACCTGAAAACGCTTTCATGAATGTCAACAACTTGTTTCCCGCAGTGGCTTCAACGAGCCGATCGATGTGCGGTACAGGGAAACTGTCTTTTGGGCACGCCTTGTTGAGATCAGTGAAGTCTACATAGACTCGCCACTTGCTGTTCTTCTTCTTTATGACCATTTGCCTCGGCGATTGATCCTACTTTAAGCAATCTTTCCACTTCATCGTTAATGGCTTTAGCTCGTTCAGGCCCGAGCTTCCTCCTTTTTTGCTTGATTGGTTTGAAGGTTGGGTCCACGTTCAGCTCGTGACAGGTCACGTCAATGCTTATGCCTGGCATATCCTCCGCTGTCCAGGCAAAAGTGTTCATATTCTCCTTGAGGAAAGAAAGGAGTTCGTTTTTCAAAGGTTCTTCCAGCTTAGTTCCAATCTCGACGCGCCTCTCTAGATGCGCTTCGTCTATGCACACCGAGTGCACCACATCACATTCCGGCTCGGTGCGCGTTTCGCGGCTCTCCGCGATCTGTAATTAACTATAAGAGTTTTGAGAGCTCGTTCACAGGCTCTCGTTCCGTCTTCAGCTTTTTGCGATCTACGTCTGCTCGTGCGTCGGTGACAGGGTTCCTCAACTTGTGCTCCGTCAGGAAACACAATCGCGACTCCTTCTGATTTCCCCAAATAGTTTTGATGCCTGCTGGAGTTGGGAATTGGTGGCAGAGGTGATAGGTGGAAGGGATCACCCTCATTTCTGGGTGATCGGTGACAGAGAATTCGACGATCTTAGTGACTCCTCCGACCACCACTGGGAGTCTAATTGTGCCCATAGTCATTGTTGTTTCTCTTGAAAACCCTGTT